GCTTCTGCGGCGGGGCCCTTCTTTCGTGGGCGGGCGCCGCCGCTCCGGGGGCATGAGCTCCTGCGCCCCGCGCGGCTTCCGCCGGGCGCCCCGCGCAGCTTCCGAAATATGACAATAAATCTTGTGTGTTCAGAGAGAGCAGAGGTTAAGGACTCAGGAGCGGAGATGGTCGCCTCCCTCTGTTCGCGCAGTTCCTAGTTTATGAACAATTATTTAGCGTGCCAATGTCCACAGCAACCTATGAATATCCCAACCTCTCTCAGGTTCTCAGAAACACTGTTCTTTACAGAAGAATTTAAAGGTATGAATGTGGAACCCTAGTAACCTTTATAATAGACTATGAGGCCCAACCTTGGTGGTGCAGGCAATAGCACACTTTAATTGCAGTCCTGGAAACCATATGCCTGACCAGAAGTTTGGATCCTCAGTCAACCTGAAACATGACAGGCACGTGTGAGCCCACGACCCTGGCAAGCTGGAGAGCTGCAGAAAGAGGAACGCAGTGTGATAAGAACCTGTCGAGGATGCTTTCTTCCCTCTCTCTCCTCTTCTTTTTTTTTTTTTTTTGAGAGGTTTTTGCTATAGAGCGTGTGTGCTTGCCAGAAAGACAGAAAGAGACAATGCGAGAAATCACCCCTCAGGGAGGATGGTCACGCCGCAATCCCTTCTCCTCCATTCTCCTCTCGGAATCTTGGGCACGCATGCATACATGCCTGGCGTGAGTTAAAGCCACCAGGTCCGGGACTCGAACTATGGTCGACTACATGAGAATCCAGCGACATAGCCATTACGTTAACTGCTGGTCCCCCCTCCCTCTCTCATAAAGGAAATAAACTTCAAAAATTAGATTATATTGGACTTTGCTCACTAAAGACCCTCTGCCCAGACTTCACCCTTCTGCTTCCCAGTCTAGCCAGGAGCCAAGATAAGCCAATCAGCAGCCATCTATATTTGAGTTCTAAGAGGCCCCATTCAGGGACCTTGACCACCGAAGAACCTCCTGCTCCTCAGTTTAGTCCGGAGCCAGACTGCAGGTCACCTCCTTCTGCACTCCTCTGAATGCTCAGCTTTAACTCCAAAAGAATAGAAAAAAACAAATAATCCATCAAATGACCAGAAATCACTGCAGAGGCATAAGAAATATGAGAAACCAAGAAAATATCTCTCCTCAAATGGAAAAGAATAACTCCTCTTCCTCCATAAAAAATACAAAGAAACTCATGGAAATGTCAGATGAGGAATTTAAAATATTCATAGTGACAAAACTAACAAAGATGTAAGATAATACAGACAATGAACTCCAGAAGATGCAGGAGAAAAGAGACGCTGAGTTCCAGGAGGTGAGGAAGTTCTTGCACCGTCTGAAAGAGGAGACACACGTCGTAAAAAAGAATCAAACGGAATTGTTAGAGATGAAGGCTGTAACATAGGAAATCAAAACTTCCATTGAAAATATCAAAAGCAGATTAGATCATGCAGAAGATTGAATCTCAGATGTAGAAGAGAGAACGTCTGACCTAGAAAAATTCACCAAAAAGACTGAGAAAATAACCCCCCACAATGAGAATAACATGAGTAATACTAGATACCATTAAATGCCCAAACATCTAGGTCATTGGTATCCCAGAAGGCAAAGAAACTAATAAGGGCATTGATAATCTATTCCATGAAATTCTGGAAGAAAACTTTCCAAACCTAGAGAGGCACTCAAATATCCAGACCCAAGAAATAAAAGGACCCCACATAGAATCAACCCAAGGAGATCTTCCCCAAGGCACGTCATAGCCAGATTGACCAAAACCACAGACAGAGACAAGACACTAAAACTGGCAAGAGAGAAACGTCAAGTTACTTTCAAAGGATATCCCATAAGGCTAACATTGGACCTTTCATCGGAAACAATGCAAGCAAGGAAAAAATGGGAAAATATATAAATATATTCAAAGTATTAAGTGAAAAATAATTTCAACCAAAAATACTATACCCAGCAAGATTATCTTTTATATGTGGAAAAAAAGACAAAAACATTCTCGGATAAAGAAAACCTGAAAGAATTTAAATACCAGATCAGCTCTTTAAGAAGTGCTGAAGGGAGTGCTATAACAAGAAAACTAAAGTCAGACACACAGAAATAGGGAGTATAAGAAACAACCAAGAGAATGGCCATCCTAATGGTAGGGACAAGTCCAGAGTTGAATGTTAACTTCCAGAATTTAAATGTAAAGATCAGATCACAGTAACACTGCAAATTCAATAGAAGAGATTAATTACGTGAGTCTGAACTAGTGAAATGTAATTTTTTAACTTTATTTATTTATTTATTTGACCAGAGAGGGACAGAGTGAGGGACAGAGGAGAGTGAGAAAGAAAGCCACTGGGTCCAGCACTTGAACCACGGTCGGCCATGTGGGAGGTCCAGCGCCTTTAACCACCACACTACCTGGCGGCCCCTTTAGATTAAAACATTATTGATTTTCTTTGATGCTTTGATTTCTATATGTAAGGATTTTTGTCTTCTCTTGAACTGTTGATAGCCCCATCTACCTACTATTTGAACTGAATCCTAACCTTTTTCCTGGCTTTAAGTTTTAAGCAAATTTCTCTTAACATTTTTTGATTTTGATCTATTAAAACTAAAACTTTTTAAAAATTAAAACATGTATTAAAAAGATACTTAGGGGGAACCAGCAGTTAGCGTAATGGCTATGTTGCTGGACTTCCACTTAGTCGAACGCGGTTCGCGTCCCGGACCTGGCTTAAACTCACGCCAGGCACGTGTACATGCGTGCCCAAGATCCCAAGAGGAGAATGGAGGAGAAGGGATTGCGGTGTGACCATCCCCCCTGGGGGGTGATTTCTCGCTTTCTGTCTCTATGTCTCTCTCTGGCGAGCGCACACGCCCTATAGTGAAAACCTCTCAAATATAAATATTCCTAAAAACCGGAAAGATAAAGATATCTGAGGGTCAGGTTAGGAAAGAGGAATGGAAATCTAATAATTAAGGAAAATATAAGTAGCAAAAACAAAAAGCAGGTAGGCTTGGTATAGAAATAAAAGGATATCGGGGCCAGCAGGTGGCATGGTGGTTAAGGTGCTGGAATTCCCACATGGCTGGCCATGGTTTGAATCCCAGACCTGGCAGCTTGCTTTCTCTCTCTTGCAAAACTCATGTGAAAAATAATATTAACAATAATAATAATAATAAATAATTCTTTAAAAAAAAAAAGATACTTAGTAATACCTATTTAATGACTGCAGTAAGCTGGATAGCCCCAGTGAGGTGCTAATTTACGGTATGTTCACTTTACTCATTGAGGTTTACGCCTAAAGTCAGACATGCATTCATAAATATGTATATATCAGCTATGCTTGCTATTGAAAGTCTTTAAATTAATTAAGATCTTTAGTGAATCAATAAAATGTGAAAAAAAAAAAAGGGCATGGAAAACAACTGTACATACCAGAGACAGTGTGGGAGAAGGGGTAGAGTTGCAGAGGGCGAGAGGTAGGGAATCAAGGAAGAAAAAAAAGCAAAATATATAAGAAACAAGAAATAGAAAATTGTTTGTTGATGATAACATGTGTGGTTACATCCTTGATTGAGCCAATATACAGTGTACACTGGATGGAAAAATCTCATTTTGTATACTGTACTGATGTACAGTGAATAACTGTAAATAAGTAAATAAACAAAACGGATTATATCATCATCTCAAATTACTAATTTTTCTCTATAAAATCAGAACCAACCAACCAATTATTATTTATCGAAGACCTACTATGTGACAGGGCACTGTGCTAGGCATTGGAGACATGGTAGTTCTTGCCACTTTGAAGTATGCAACTTAGCTGGCAACAGATTAAACGAATGAATATAAAATTGTAACTATGCTAGGAAAGCACAGAATGGGGAATCTGATAGTCAAGGAAGTCAGGAAGGGTGATCAGATAAGAGTGACTGTGTGTACGCAGAGGATGGGGGAGTGTTTTGATCAGATGGGCATGCACTGAAAGGGCCTTCTAGCAGGAGGGAATGGCTATGTCTGTGGAAAGGAGAAGTGAGTATGGCTTAGTATGGCAGGAGTGTACAGGTCAAGGGAGACAGGCGTGAATGAGGAAGGTGGCAGAGAAGACCAGGCAGAGCCCTAGAGCCTGTGTTAAGGACTATAGTATTTACCTTAAAAACAACAGGAAGTGGGAACCAGCAGTTAGCGTAATGGCTATGTCGCTGGACTCCCACGTAGTCAATCGTGGTTCGCGTCCTGGACCCGGTGGCTTAAAACTCACGCCGGGCGCGTGTGCGTGCGTGCCCAAGATCCCGAGAGGAGAATGGAGGAGAAGGGATTGCAGCGTGACCACCCCCCCGGGGGGTGATTTCTCTCTTTCTGTCTCTATGTCTCTCTCTGTCTGTCTGGCGAGCGCACACGCCCTATAGCAAAAATCTCTCAAAAAAAAAAAAAACCAAAAAAACCACAACAGGAAGTTTGAAGCAGGTTATTGTAGCATGAGGAACAGGTATGAGGGGATGGGGGCGTGGGGCAGTAGCAAAATGGATCTTCAGAATCAGCCAAGAGGCTCTTATGAAGTCCAAGCAAGAGATCATGGTAGCCTGATCATGATGGTGGTGGTGAAAATAAAGAGTCAGGGTCAGATATGAGATCTAGTAGGTTAAGAGGACAGGATCTGCTGGTAGATCTAGTGTGGGAAATGAAGAAATTTCCTAAGGTTTCCAGCTTGGATAACCGGATAAATGACAGCAGCATTACAGAGGAAGGGAACATGGAAGAGGGCCAGGTCTGGGAAGGGAGATGGAAGTTCAATATATTAGCTATGGCTATGCATTATGGAGATTTGTTACGCTGGTCCCTGAGGGTTAGAAGACAGGCAGAGAAGGGAAGAAAGTTTTACCTTGATATCAGCTCTAAGCTCAACCAATTGCTCCTCTGACATTCGAACAGCCACATCAGTCATCTTCTTTAGAAGTTCAGCTTTCTTTTGTCGACCGAGCAAAATTTCCACTGTAGAAGAAAAGGAAGTATGAATCTCAGGTTGTTGCTAAATAGGATATGGAAGAACTAGAAGCATAAGCCTTGCAAGTATGTATTTGGACAGCCAAAGGCTTAGCTGCCTGACCATCCAGAAAAATGAAAATATCAAAGGTCCAATTTCCACCTTCCAGGGGTCTCTGAAGGCACTTAAATGGTAAACATTTTTCACAAGTCACAAAGACTCATAAATCATCTGTCATTTCTCTTTCTCCTCTATTAAAATTTTTTTACAAGAACCATATAAATTAAAATAGAAATATACACACGGTGAAACAAAATTCTTCTAACGTAAAAAGGTATAAAAAAGTAAAAGTATCCCTCCTACTTCTGATTTTTGGAGTTCCCTTCCCAGAGGAAACCATTACTGTTAACACTTACTTATATATGCCTCCAATTAGTTTATCTGTATATAGAAAATCTATGTATCTCTCCTTTTTCTCTCTCCTCATAGATGGGAGTATATCATACACATGGCCCTCCCTTCATCTTAGCTGTTTTTACATAATACATAATATCTTGAAGTCCATGCTTATTAATTTGGATCGCCTTCATTCTGTTTAGTGGTCACGGAGTAGTCTACTACATGGATATACCACAATTATCCCCCAAATATCCCAATGATGGATATTTAGATTGATACAGTCTTTAAGAAGCAACTTCTGTGGATTGCTCCTTGATATACAGCTCGGATACGGCCATGGTGGATCAAAGACAATAAGAACATCTCCCAGAGGGGGGTTGGCAGGTGGCGTAGTGGTTAAGGTGCTGGACTCCCGCATGGCCAACTGGCAGCTTGTTTTCTCTCTCTGTCTCTTTCTCATCAAATTGAAGAATAAATAAAATTAAATAATTCTTTTTTAAAAAACTAATTATTTTATTTAACTTTATTTTATTTATTTAGATTTGACCAGAGAGGGGAAGAATAAGAGGCAGTGGGGAGTGAGGAAGCAAGCCACCAGGTCTGGTACTCAAACTGTGGTTGGCCATGTGGGAGTCCAGGGCCCTTAACTACCACTCCATATGCCAGCCCCCAATAAATAATTCTTAATAAAAAAAAGAAATCTTCCAGAGAAGAGATCTGGAGCTACAGTGGACAATGGGCAAAAGAAATCCTCCTAGGAAGTAGAATTAGAGGTTCCAGATAAACCATTCTAAGAACTTTCTCTACTACCAGGGCAAGGACTCTGCTATTCCTGTCCAGCAAGATTTGACTGTTTTTAAAATGGGAATCTTTATTGTAGCTATCCTCTTCTTTCTCTATCTATGTAATAGTAGAGGTTCCATATTAGTTTATAGGACTCCCAGACCACAAAATGCCATATCCCCGGACTTGATGGAAGGCCTGGAATTATCCAGAAGACTGAATAGCTAAGAGAGACTTTGCCACTGAGGAGCTGAGTATGTTCTCATCTGGGGGGAAAAAATGAGTGTTGGGGAGCTGAAGGGAAGGACTGCATCAAAGACTGAGTTAACTATCCATTTTCCTTTTTTTTTTTTTGAGAGGTTTTTGCTATAGGGCACGTGCGCTCGTCAGAGAGAAAGCGAGAAATCACTCCCCAGGGGGATGGCCACGCCGCAATCCCTTCTCCATTCTCCTCTCAGGATCCTGGGCATGCACGCACACGTGCCTGGTGTGAGTTTAAGCCACCGGGTCAACTACATGGGAGTTCAGCGACATAGCCGTTACGCCATCTGCTGGTCCCATTTTCACTTATTTTCTATTAGAAGCCCAATGTTGGGTAGAACATGCTTAGGCAAAAATCTACATTCCCTGGCTTCAGTTCAGATGAGATACATATGTGATACAGTTTGGCCACTGAGATCTAAGTAGAACTCAGAGGATGGGTGTACAGGAAGGCACTTTAAAGGAGTCTTCCTCAGCCATCATGTAACACTGCCCCCCTTTCACTGGAGCCTTAGGAATTATCTTTTGTTCACAGGCACACACTAAGGATGGCTGGGTATAAGGACAGAGAAGCCTGGGTCCCGAATGTCATCTTGGAGAGCCCTACCACCCTGAATGCTTACCTTTAGCCTTTTCATTTCATGAAAGAAAAAGAAACTCACATTTAGGCCACTCTGTTGAATGCAGTCAAACTCAATCCCTAAGTGATACCTGTAAACTACTGAGAAATTAGCCAGTTTTATGTTAGAAAATAAAGAATTTTCAAACAGCTACATCAGGTATTACAGGCAGCTGAATGTCTTTAGCAAGTTTATTTAGTTTAATTGCCACATATATGCCACCCGTGGATTGCCCAAACCTATGCCAGGTTAATCAGTCAGAGCGCTTTCCCAGTAAGTTAGGAAGATGTCTACGGAGGTTTTCTAAATACCCCAGAATCGCAGATGATATGTAGGCTGAGCTCCCAAGATAAAACCTACTTGCCATTTGTATCAGCTTCAGTTTCCCTTAGCTCCACCACTCTGGGAGTCTATCATAAAAGTAAAGCTTTCAAGATGGAGAAAACGAGTACAAAAATTTTTTTTTCAAAATTTTTTCATTTAACTTTATTATTTATTCATTTGTTTATTTCAATTTGACCAAAGAGGGACGGAGGGAGTGAAAGAGAGAGAAAGTGAGAAAGCAAGCCTCCAGGTCTGGGACTCAGACCGTGGTCGGCCATGTGGGAATCTGGCACTTTTAACCCCATGCCACCTGCCGACCCCAAAATGAGTAAAAATTTCTATATCAGATAACTCTGAGGACCTAAATATATGACACTGGACAAGTCACATTTTTCCAAAGAACAAATTTCTTCAATTATGAAATTTAAAAAAAAAAGGAAAACCTACAAACCTTATAAGGTTGATGTGAAGATCACACATGAATTTGCATGATAAAACTCTGAACTGTGAAGTACTATGTATGTATAAGTTACTTAAGATTACCATGTGCAAAAAAGAAGCATTTTCTTGATAGGACTGGTAAATGAATAATTACATCTTGTCACTGAGAGCCAGGATTTTCAGGAAGAAAGGAGATACAGATACAAAACTGAGGAAAGCAGGTAAAACTCTGTAGCTCTGAATTCAGTAAAATAGGATTTGGTATGAATTGCTACTTAGCCAAAGTTGGGTGACAGGGGTTCATTATACTAGCCTCTATTTGAAACATGATTGAAATATTTTATAAAAGATGTACTGTACTGTATTTATTTTTTAATTGCTAGAAGGTACATGTGCTCACTAGAGAGAGAGGAGGAGAGAGAAAGGGGGTAGGGGAGAAGGAGTGGGAGAAAGAGACCCAACAGGGTGTGGTCACAGCACAATCCCTGCTCCTCTCTCTCCAACCTTGCCGGATTTGGGAAATTCAAGTCCATGTGTCTGGCGGATTCTTCAAGCTGTCGGGGCCAAGGTTCAGAACACGTGGTTAGCCATGTGGGATCTGGTTCTCTTAACCACTACACTATGGCGCTAGCTAAAAGATGTAGTTCACTTCATTCCAAATGAACTTGTACTTTAATTCCATTAAAGTTTTTTGTTTTTGTTTTTTTTTTAATTGCCAGAGGATGTGTGTGCTCACCAGAGGGAAAGAAAGAAAGAGAGAATGGAAGAAAGAAAGCACCTCTCCGTGAGTTATGGTCACATCACAATCCTTTTTATTTCTTCACTCTGTCAGAATTTAGAATTGGGACCAGCAGATGGTGTTAATGGTTACATTGCTGGAATCCCACATAGTTGGCCGCAGTTTGAGTCCTGGACACAGTGGCTTAAACACGTCGACACGTACACATGCATGGCCGTTTCCCTTGGGGGTGATTTCTTGCCTCTGTCTTTCTAGTGAGTACATGTGCCCTACAGCAAAAACCTACCCCCCCCAAAAAAAAAATTGGAGGCACACGCACATATGTGTCTGACATGTTTTTCTTTTTTTTTTTTTAAAAAAAAAACTATTTTTAAAGTATTTATTTAATTTTTATTTATTAGTATTACTTTTTAATTTGACCAGAGACAGACATATAGAGAGAGATGGAAAGTGAGAAAGCAAGCCAGCAGGATCAGGATTTGACCCAAGGTTGGCCATGTACAAGTCTGGTGCTTCAACCACCTGCCAGCCTGCCTGGCATATTTTTCAAGCTGTTGGGGCCAGGATGGATTCCAGCTCCTAATGAAGAACACTTAACTACTGTACTATAGACCAGCCTCCCCAGATGTAAATATACACACACACATATATATAATTTGCAATAGGATGCATGCACTCACCTAAGAGACAGAGACTGAGAGAGGGAAAGTGAGAAAGCACCCCAAGGGGTTAACGATGCTGTAGTCCTTTTTCTATTCAATTTTGGGCACACACACGTGTGCCTGGTGTGCTTCTCAAGCACAGGGCATGAGTACTCACCAGGTGGGGGGAAGAGAAAGCAAGCTACCAGGTCTGATACGCAAACAGTGGTTGGCCATGCAGGAGTCCAGCACGTGAACCACCAGGTCACCTGCTGCCCCTCAATTCCTAAGTTTTAAATCGCATGCCATTCTGGGTAGTGTGATAAGATCTTGCTGCCCCTCCTGTCTTACGCAGGAAGTGAAATCATCTCCTTGTCCAGCATATCCACACTGTATGCCTACTCCCTGAGAGTCACCGAGCAGCCATCTGGGTTATCATACCCCAAACCACAGTATTTATATATAAGGTTCAGTACTATTCACAGTTTAAAGCATCCAGTTGGGATCTGAAAATGTACCTCCCACTGATAAGGGGATACCACTGTACTCCATTGTGGGTAACATAGTGAAGACTGCTCTGGTTATGCTAAGGTTTTCTTTTTCCTAAGTATAAAAATATCTTTTTTCCTTTTTTTTTTTGAGAAGTTTTTGCTATAGGGCGTGTGCGCTCCCAAGAAAGAGACAGAGAGACAGAAAGTGAGAAATCACCCCCTAGGGGGGGATGGCCATGCCGCAATCCCTTCTCCTCCATTCTCCTCTCGGGATCTTGGGCACACACGCACACACGCCTGGCGTGAGTTTAAGCCCCGGGTCTGGGACTCGAATTGCAATTGGCTACATGGGAGTTCAGCGACATAGCCATTACGCTAACTACTGGTCCCCTAAGTATAAAAATATCTTAATGTACCATTTTAATCACTGGAATAAAAAAGAAAAGAAATCCTAGGCAACTGCAAAATACTTTATTTTTCTAAGATTGATACTA